AAGTTGGCAGCGACTTGAGGGTTTTAGGAACAGTGTGGGCCAAGTAAGGCCCAGCATGGAGTGCAGCTGCCCACCTGTGCTCCAGGGCAACAGGAGGGTGTCTAGAGCCTGGAGCCAAAGCCAAGCAGTAAGGGGGCGTCTTCCTGCCTCAGCACATCAGGAGCCAGCCTGCCCTCCTCACTGCCATGTTTGTCCCCAGGCAGAACTGGCCACCTCTCACAAGTGCCTGCACCATGAGGTAAAGCGGCTGAATGAGGAAAACCAGGGGCTCCGGGCTGAGCATTTGCCCTCTTCAGTCCCCCAGAGCCTGGAGCAGCTCGAGGGCGAGGATGAGTCGCTGCCCAGCTCGGTGCAGGTGAGCAGGGCGTGGGCACAAAGAGCCCTGGGCAACCTGTGGGCCCTTCCTTTCCAGGCAGAGCAGAGCATCTGGGGACCTGGGGACAGACCCTGGCAGCTGTTTTGGCTCTTTGCCTTGGCCAACCCACTTGACCTCTTTAAGGCTCCGTTTCCTCATCTGAGAAATGGGACCATAGTGTCTTCCCAGCATTGGCATGAAGAAGAGTTAACAATTCCTGACACCCAGGAGGCAACGATTTGGTTTGTTTCCTGTTTTTGAGAGACCTGAGATCCTTAAACTGAATTCATCATGATCTTTGGTTCATAAGCCGTCATCATTGATCTGTGCATGGCCTTTGTTGATGTAATTTATGAATAATGTAATTTATTCAAAATGCAAAGATCCCTGGGACCTGTCCCTACCCCGCGGTTACGCGCACATCCACTTCTGCGGTGCCCGTTTTCCTGGATCCTGTTTCATCCTTTCGTTCTTTTTTGATTTACTTTTCAGTCCATAAATAATGGAGGGCTGGACTCTGTTGCTTGGGGGCTTGACCCAGGGGTCTCTTGGTCGCCTGGAACTCCGGCCCCGCCCCATTTCTGAGTCCCTGCGCTGTGCGCGGGGCGCGGGCGCGGTGCCTTCGTTTCCACTGCGAACGTGGGGTGTTCTGTGCCCTTCCTCCTGGCCTTTGGGTTCTTTCCTGCTGGGGCAGTTTCCTTCCTTCCGCTTCCTCCCCGCTATCCCCCTCTGGCCAGCGGCCCCGCCGGCTCCTGTCCTGCTCTTGGGCCCGGTGCCCAGCGGGCTACTCGCGTCCCTTCCAGGAGCTGCAGCAGCTGCTGCACCGCACGCGGCAGGAGGCGCGCGCCCGGCTGCAGGCCCGGGAGCACGAGGCCGAGCGCCTGCGGATTGAGATCGTTAATCTGCGGGAGGCGCTGGAGGAGGAGACGGCGGCCAGGGCCAGCCTGGAGGGGCAGCTGCGGGTGCAG